AAGAGTGGAGTAAGGATTTAACATGAACAAAATCATGGTACAGAAAGAGGAAAATATATAGGAAGAATTCGGGAAACAATGAGGAAGAAACATAGCATACATGAAGGCATACATAGATCATAAGGAGAAAAATGGCTAAACATTGTAATTTTCTATACTGATACCAAAACACTGATATGAAAGACTGCTTATTAAGACAAAAGAACAACTGGAGACTAGTGTCAGCAGGGGTGGGCAGAAGCCCAGACTCATAATTATTTTTAAAAAACAACTGTTTACTGCTCTAAGCATGTAATACTCACTTTGTGTAATTGGACAACTTTTAAAATTAAGTGTTTCATCCCCCTACCTGAGAAATGAATATATGGTAGTAAGAAAAAGGGAGAAAATGAACAAGCTGTGCAATCACAACTAGGGAATGACTGAAAATCTTTTGTGTGGTTAAAAGAAGCCAAATCAACTGAACTTAAAAATTACTTTTGAACGTGGAAATGATGAACGTGTTCCCTAATAGCAATCAGGGGATAAGAAATAAAAAGGCTAAATAGCAAAGATGTTAATTCTTATAGATTAGTGAACCAACTTCTACCAATTTTCATTAACATTAGTTATTAATGTGTTTATTCCCAAACAGCTAACTTGATCATTTGCTACCAACAAATCATTTGGTATGCCAAACAGGACAAACTAACTTATTAGATTATTATCTTACTCAGCTTCAAAAAGTATTATTTAATATGGTCTTATTTATTCACTACAGCACTTTTCCCTTTAATATTTTAAATTAACACATTACCACGATTTTAAGCCCTTTCAAACTCCCTACTTGAAGACATCTGTGCAAACTTGTCTTTATAGTTACAATTCATGGAACTTGAAATTTCTGCACAAAGTATTTTAGTCACTTTCAAATGCAGTGTAACTTCTCCTAAGGAATCTGGCTACTGTTTGGCAACAAGTTAACTTATTCCTCAGTGGGATTTAGACCAGGAAATGAATGCCACAGGCAACAAGCTGTAGGGGAACTCAGTTTAAATTCCTGTGCCCTCAGAGCTAGCTAGGGTACATAATTAATACAGCTGCTCTTCAATTTCTGGAGACGTATTGTTTGGGGATTTTTGTTGGTTTGTTCTGGGTTTTGTTTTTGTGTTTTGTTTTCTTTTCTTCTTCAACTCACCTACCATTATTACAAGATAATGTGATGATGGCTACAAAACAGACAGGCTTGTGTTTTAAGCCCACACACAATTCTGTAGAGATTTCTACTTGCTTGGATGTCTTCAATATAAATATCAATGTAGTGCCACTCCATTTAGCTTGTGTTGCTTTGTAAGATTACAATACCAGCATAGTTCATCATGTAGCCACAAATCAGTAGAAGTTACAGAATAAGGACAGCTTGTTATTTAAGCAACAAAGGAATAAAATTTTTAGCTATATTTGGGATGATAATCTCACACTTACAGGCAAGCACCTTCATACAAACTCAAAAATTCATTT